GAAATCGTTTCGTGCGAGTGCACGAAAAAATAACCGAGTGTTTAAATATTCTTGTGTTATTTTGTCTAATTACTAGATGCGCGACTAGATAGGCGATCGTCGATTGTTTATTTCCATTAGAACGCGAAGGTAACTTTTTAAGTACTAATCGAGTTTACATCACGCGGAACATTTTGTTTTCATTGTATACACAAGCCCTTTAATAAAGTGGAAAAAAAATCTCTGAAATTTACTTTAATCCTTAGTACACATGATGATATTCCAGTCTTTTACTAAATGTACACAATGAATTATTTCCTGTTCCAAGTTAATTTTTCATCACTTTAACAAACATACAAAAATTATGACTCTATATATATTTTAACATCTTTAGAAAGTATTTATAATGTTGTGCATTTAAAAAAATTTATATAAACATTATAACTAATGATTTGATGCTCCTTTCGAAGAAAAAAAATGTACACTGTTAAATTCATAATGTCAAATTATACACTTAATTTGAATTATCTTTAATCATGTCTATAGATCGCCACTGTTCCTATCTAATATATCGTTAATTTGAAAACAATGGAGTTAATCTCAATTAAACTCAAGAAAATATATTAAGTTTGATTCAAATTTTATGAAATTTATTATTTACTCAATGCGGACGTTCATATGGACAATGTTCACTTTGAAACTAACGGCAGAAATGAATTTATTTATATCTCGACGTACATGGAAGTTAAGGGTTGACAAAAATAACGAGTAACGAGCTCATTTACACCCCATTTGCAGTGTAGATACATACCTGCATTCTGTCGTATAGTGTAGCGTAGAAGAAACATTTTGTTATAAAACTTTGTTTGACTTATGTTTTACGAAGTTACAAAGCGTGCTAAAGAGCAGGATTTTGCATTTTCGCTGTTAAAAATATTAAAATAAAATGATCCGCTCTATACTCTTCGCGGTGTAAATACATGATTTTATCTCCTAGAAGCTAATATTGTGTCATGAAATGCTTTCATCTTCTTATTTTTATGAGCTACAAAAGCGCATACACAATCGGATTTTGCAATTTTTTTTTCTTAAAATTAATAATTATAATAAATATTAAATTAAATAAAGTATGCACTTCAACTGCACTATAGCAGATCGAGATATCAAAACGAATTTTTATTTTATCCTTTTTTCCAAAAGAAACTGTATGAGTTTTCAGGCGACTTTCTTGTTTACGAATGTCATAATTATATTGCGATTTTCTCGGTATTTTAGCATAATTTCAGCATAAAGAAATTTGTCTCCAACAGAGGTTCCAGTCTCCTCTGTTGACTGTTAAAAATAACAAAATAACAATATGATATTTAATTCTCAAGTATTGAGATTGATTTGTGGAACCACGCGAAAAAAAAAACAAAACACTGTATCTGCCTCATTTTTAATATTTTCTTAAAGATCGATTTATAACAGTTTAATTAATAAAACATAGATTTTTAAAATTCCTGTATTTTTATTCCAATTTTTTAAATCGTTATTTCAAGAACCAACCTCAATAAAAGTATCACTATTTTTATTTCAGTATTTAAGGCTCCTGAATACTCACTCCAGCCATATTGAATCATGACGTGAATCATAAGAAAAGTGTCATAAATAACATGTTAATTTTTCTTGTATGCTAGTTGTAAATAAAGAGAATTTGGATGAAATAAAATTAATAAAATGATGAGATCGCTTTAAAATATTTGTAACAATGGACGAAAACTATCCTTATCTCCCTTGACAATCAATAAGTAGTTATAACTTTCTTATTCACATTTTTAATACGAATCGGAACATTTCTCAGAAAATCTACATCTTTTCTCAAAATTTTTCATCTTATTAATTATAAAATATCGTAAGAGTTTGAAGATTTTTTTTATAATTTTTGATGAAATGTTATAAAATCTAAAAAATTTTAAAATATTTTTTTTAAATTAGAGATGAAAAATTTCAGAATATTTCAGAATTCACCTGTATGAAAAATTCTGAGAGAAGATGTAAACTTTTCGAATATTTCTGAATATTTCTGAAAAATGTTCCAATTCGTAAATTCGATAAAAATTATGAGAAAAATTTTCATCAGGGATCATATAGAATTTAAATGTGTGTTATAAATTCTGCGTATGATACATAATTTTCTATCAGATATAAAAAACAATTATAACTCTAGTTGAAGCAAAA